TCAGATAAGTGGTGAGCCTTACTAGTGCTAAATTGTTTTCAAATTAACACAAAACACAGTGTTACTGCAGTCATTATATGACACAAAATGCTTATCCAAAAAATCCATGGCATCAGAGATAACGGGTTACAGTATAGATTATGCCAGTAGAGGGATAGTTACCACGTGGCAAAGAAAGAAAGAGTATACTGAGAAGTAAAATATCTCAGGAGAAGAAAAAAATAATGAGGTGAATAGAAGCACTTTATAGCATGTATCATTTATAATCAACATTAAAATAACTATAATTTCACCTGTAACTACATTGATTTACTTTTAAACTCAGTTTACATTAAAAATAGGAGAGAATTTTAATGTTTTACAACATTTAAGACGGGGACATGATTTCCTTGTGCTTGATTTTGAAGCTATGGATTGGAAATAGCAGCAATAACCAGCCTTCACACAATGTTGACAAAATTTTGTGTGAACTGGAAAAAGAGATGATAACGATGATGTGGTATTGGGAAAAAATACATTTCCTTTAAGGTCTTCTATCATGAGACAGTAAATAAGTGCATCATATTTTATAACAGTACATCATCAGTTAATAAATCATTTCAAAGTGCATCACTAGGCTGAGAAATAAACTGCCTTTTCTTGTTCATGTGACATCTGGAAGAGGGATTCCAGAGCCTCATTTAGCCTTTTATTCTCATTTTATTTTAAACCAAAAATATTTATTCATTTATGAAAGTGAAGTGTTGTAATATAATACAAGGAGAAGCTCTTTGTCTTTAGCAGATCAATACACAGAAAACATGGGAAGACATTTTTAAGGAAAAAGAGAGGAATGTATAAGAGAAAAGCCAAATGTTCACTTAATGCCACTGCTACTTGTTCAGATGTCATTTATGTGTAGTCAAGGAAATAGTGTGGAGTTATAGTTAGAAAAATGACTGCTGAGACCATTACATAATTTGCTGTGGACATGTGGGCCAAAATTACAAATATTATTTCACTCCCCACTTACCAGCTGTGTAATCTTGGAGATGAGAACAATGTGACATTTACAACATCCATTTATCACAGCAGCCTCACAATTAATTGAAGACAAAGCTAGTGCATATCCTAGATTTCATAAAAAAACTTCTTATAAATACTACCCACTGATATTTGAGTGAAGGAAATGTGAAGCGAAGGAAAAAACTTGTCAAAAACAAACATGTTGGAAACTTCTTAGCATTCCAAACGAAAGCTGCATTTTTTTGCAGTACTATAAGCAAATGAATGGCTGACCCAAAGCTCTGTGAAAAGGATTAAGAGTCACATTGATTTCCAATGGGCTGTGGCATGGTCTGTAAACAGGTGTCCTGGTGATGCTCAGTAAACTCACAGCAGTCATCACAGCACTGCTCCAATAGGGATTATTAGATGTGAAGATAAATTCTAAGTTCTGTCCCAACCACTAATAGGCAAAATTTATTTATCTGTCACTATACTCAATGTTCAGATGATTACTGGATTAGCAGGTAGTGGAAGCTCATATGCAAGTAGACCTCTAACCTTCCCTTACATAGGTCATTAAAGCAAATTAAAACTTTCTATAACTGATTTTCATACTTATGCCACATTAAGCCACATTATGTTTTTTGAATATATTTCTCAAGCTACTTTGCCTGATGCTAAGATATGTGTCATTTCTTGCAGTTATACCTTATTGCAAGAATTTGCTCTAATCTTACAACCAAATATTTTCTTGATGTTCTTCTAATCTTCATTTTAAGTTAATCAATCTGTGACAATATGGTTGTTCTTTCAGTCTTTCAGTCTGTTACTTTTTGTAATATTTGAATCTGTCAAGCCTTCAGAGTTTAAACCGGGGTAGGTGTCTCACAGATCTGAGCATGGCATCACAAAGATAACAATGTCCTCCCAAATAAGAGAGCAAAACAGACAGAGATTTTCCATGACCTGTAAGGAGTACAGTGCTAGCAGGTGTCAGTGCCTTGCCTATGCTGTGGCAAGCAGGGCTGACACAGTCCCAGAGTGCCATGCAAGCACAAGAGTTGCCATTTTCAGGAGAAAGCTTTGGGAAAACTTGGACAACAGCATCTAAAGTACTAGAAACCTTGTAGAGAGAGGTGTAGAGGATCACAGAGAAGGAAAAATTATATTCTTTCTTTTCCACAATGGCATAAGTTTCAACAGAGTGTGCCTCAGCCTTAAAAATGTTTATGGCTGGAGTTTTCCATATAAAAAAACCTATGTTTTAGCTGCTATTGTTTTTACTTTTAATCTTTGATGATATTCAGGTTTGATGATTGAGTGCTCATTGTACACTACTTGCAAAGCAAAAATGGCCCAAGATTTATATGTAAGATAAACTTTGAAGTCAAAGTAATTCCTAAATCCCCTCCACAAACACTACACTTGTTAACTACTTTGTTTGATGAGAGGAATTATGCAAATACAGACAAAACATGCAAAGGTGATGAAAAGCATATTGTGATATATGTCAAACATATGGAGTAGCAAAGATAAAATCAAAATACTTGAGAAATAAATATAGAAATCTGGACACATACCTAATTGAAGGCCATAGGTATAGCAATCCATTACAATATGAGTTCTTTTTAGACAGAAATCATGAAAATAATTCCAGACATTTTTAAAGAGATTCAGTAAATGATCAAACAAATACATAAGTCAGAAGAGCTTTGTCCACCATAGCAGGACACTGGCGCAGCATATTTAACCATTGAGTCACGGCTGCCCTTAAGGTCTAAAGACATTTTATGCTCTAGAATGAAAAACAGGATGAGGTTCCACTACTTCGAGGTCTCAGAACATACTTCATAGTAAGCTGCACAGCAACACATCATATTCCTAAGCAGAGCAGTAGTGACTCACATTCTGTGGTGTTAAATCTTTCCTCATCTGTAATATTTTGCTGCTCAAATAGCTACAAACATAAAGGAGGATTTATCACATAAGCAACATATTAAAATCAAAAGTCACTTTGTACTGAGCTACCCACAAGAATGTAGCAGAAATCTGCCAAAGCAAAACCGGTCAAACACAGCACCCTAATCTTAGTATCTCTTTACACAAGATGTAGTATAGGGAATTGACCTTTTTTCTTTTTTCTTTTTTCATACCTTTATCCCAGAATAAGAATAGCCCAGATTAAGTTTGAAACCAGCCCTCGCCAGATATGCCTAAACACAGAAGAAATTAATACAAGAAGCAGTGCAAGACTGAAAGCTGTTGAAAAACATTTTTGTCTTGAAAACAGCGCATAGAATCAAATGAATGCTGTTCCGAACATTCACCTCAGCAAGGTCAGTTAGTGATGTAATAACTGATTTGGGAAATATGACAAGCTCCATAGGTCGTGAAAGGACCTCATTGGAGAACTAATTCGCTTCAGCAGCAATTCTGTTTGAATAAACTAATCAGTCAGGGGACTGTGATTCCACCTCCTTCAGGTTCTTAAATCCTGTACACAGACCCCAAAGTAGGCTAACCTCCTTTTTGGAGTGAGAAGGATAAAATCAGTCTGATACCTGTGAAACCAGGAACACATTTTCCTCTTTATTTACCCCTGCTTTTCTACTAGGTTCTGCCAAAAGTATCCTCTACCCAAAGAGTCTTCCTTCTATCCCTTCCCAGTATTAAAAAGTCCAGCCCTTTCCACTCCATCCATGACTTAAGGTTTCCTAAATAAGCACTGAAGGCACAGTACTGCTCCATGAGACATGAGCTGGGCGCAGACAAAGGCAGGACTAGTTGGGAAGAGCCAAGGGAGAGCTTTGTGGCAAACTCGAAAAGCCTGTCTTATAGCAAAGCAGAACACCCAAAGCTGACACTGGGTTTTCTGATCCCGGCACAAAAATGAACAGCTGCCAGCATTATACTCCTGTTCAACTGAAGGGATTAAGATAGTGTCTGAAAACGAGTCACTGGGAGCTGATTAATCCTCAGCAGGCACATTTGTTTACTCTGCTCATTAATTAGGTATGTCACGGTGGCCGGGTAAGGCAACTCTCCTGGCAGCCTTCCCGTTGCAGAGTGATATGCCTCACAGTGTACAGGCATACAGGGGAAACTTCAGATTGTACCTGCAGAAAATTTGTCTCCCACTCCCTGGAATAACTACAAAAGCAGAAGCAAGGCACGGAAAGAAATACAGCAACAGAAAGAACATGAGCCCACAGTCCTTGTTTCCCAGCAGCAAACACTTGCTGCTTTTTATTTATAACACTTTTCTGGAGAAAGGAAAATCAACACACTTGAGAACTAAAACTGCAAATTTCTATACACAGATGAATTTCAAAAGATCCCGAAGCCCTCTCTTTAAGCCATATAATCTGGAAAATTACATGGAAAAAAATCCAGAAAAAATGGAAAGGACAAAATCAAAATGGCTCATAATTTCAGACGAGAATGCAACAATTAATCTCAGCAGAGAAAGATCCTTCCTTGTGGGACTGTAAGATTGATATCTTCCTTAGATCAGCAACTTTTCTACTCTTACTGCAACTCTGTGTTATTTTGAGCTCATTTCCAATCTCATTTGGATTTATTCATACATTCCAAAACACCCCAGCTTCATACCATCCACCAGTGTGGCTAGCAAACGTACCATGTAGTGCTTCAAGTTAATAGAGTGCTTCAAGTGCTACATGTTAATAGAGAGGAGTACTGTTTTTAGGAAGAATCTCTGTATTTGACTCTTTTTCCTCGTTTTCCACTCAATTATGAGTATAGTCAATGCCTACATTCAATATTCAAAGATTAAAAAAAAAAAAAAAAAAGCAACATATCACATTATTAACATTCTATTTTATCTACATGGCTTCTGTTTGAGTCACAGGGAACTGGACGTTTTCCCTAACATTCAATTTACCATCAGGAAAAAGGGAGGCTAGGCCCAGTGCTCTTTATTCGCTCAGACCGAGTTCACCTTCAGAGGAAACGTACCTTCCCGCGGGGCCGCCAGCAGAGGGCGGCGGAGGGGAGCCGCGCACGCCGAGGCCGCGCGTCCTCCCCGGGCGCAGCGCGGAGCTGGGCCGTCCCCCGGCTTCTGCAAGGTGGGAGTCCGCAGCCCCGGCCCGCACGGGGTGAGCGCGACGGGGGCTGAGGGAGGGCGGCGGGAGGCTTGGTGTTGCGGGGCAGCCCTGCGTGCGGCTGCTGTGTTGCCCGCAGCGCAGGCTGTGAGCGGGGCAGGCCGCGGTAGTTAGCTCGCTGGACGCCTTTCTCTTTCAGTCCGTAGACAGATTTGGGAAGGCTCGGGGGGAGCGGGGCTTCCTGGTGGCGGGCGGTAGTGGGAAAACGTGTTGCGCCCGGGAAAGGTTTGCAAATGGAGGCGGTCGGCACGGGGCCGCCTGGCCCATCTCGTGCGGTGCTTGCTGCCTTGCGGTGTCACCTTGTTTTGTCGTGCCGCGTCATCCTGATCATTAGCAAACCGAAACCCACTGCCAGTAGTTCTCTTTTCCTGGCTTACCATACCAGCATTTGAATCAGGAGGCATAGAAAAAATATGGTAAGCCTCCGCTGACTTGGGCCTTCAGTCTGCATCTGCATCACAGAATGGTTTGGTTTGGAGGGACCTCAGTGCCCACCCAGCCCCAACCCGTGCCGTGGGCAGGGCTGCCCATCCCAGCTCAGCTGCCCAGGGCCCCATCCAGCCAGGCCTTCGGTGCCTCCAGGGATGGGGCACCACAGCTTCTCTGGGCAGCTGTGCCAGGGCCTCACCGCCCTCTGAGGAAAGAATTTCCTCCTAAGATCTAATCTAAATTTCTGCTGAAGCCATCATTCCATTGTAGAAGGCCACCAGATTGATGGGACGTTGTCTCCCTTTGTGAAGTCATAGTGGTTGTCTGAGATCCCTATCTTCCATCTGCCTTAATATATCTCCCAGGAGGATCTGTTCTGTCATCATCCCAAAGAAAAAATGCAAGCTGCTGTTTCCCAGATCTTCATTTCACCTTTTCTCAAAAATGGGAGTGGTGTTTCTTTTTTTTCCAGTCACTGGGGATTTCACCTGACATCTGTTTCTCTTTCCTATTTCTTTGTCACACTAGAGTGAGGAATTAATGGGGAGTCAAGTCAGCAGAACAGAAATTAACAGACTTTCTTTAAGAAAAACAGCTAGGAAGTATTTAGGACTGGGATCCATTTTAGGCAAATTTAGTAGTTTTCTTGGTGCTGATATATTACCATACAGAAAAAGGTTTGATTGGTCCAAGCAGTCATGACTGATCAAACACATGCTAAGGTTCCAGAATGAAATAGTGCATCATTGTGCAGTGTATACAGACAAATGCCTGCCTGGTCATAGTAATTTCGTTTTCAGGTCTACATACACATTCATAGAAAGAAAACAGTATGCAGTGCATAATTTTATCCAGATACATAGGTAATTTTGTGTATAAAACAACCAGGAACACAATGCAAGAATCTGTCAGTGATTTGGAGTGAGGCTCAGAATATATAGTGTCATTGAAGTACAGAGTTAGGGAGAAAGTCAGCCGTACTTCTCTTTCAATGACTGATGCTAGGCTAAAGTTTTTACAGCTAATTGTCTTGTCCAAATAATGGCTAGTTCTAGTCTCACATCTTATTTTTCCAGCATCCCAAAATATGGATAGGAAATTAATTCAATTTGGCGTTGCAAAATACACCATGCATGGGCCAAGTTTGAACTCAGAAGTATCATCAGTTAAATTATTGTGTACTACTGTAGTATAAGAAAGGCAGGGTTTTTAAGTTTGCAAGCATCCTTTCTTTTTACATTTATGGGTTGATTCTGTCTCTCAAACAGGTCTTTATAATAGCTTGGAGGCAGGGGAGTGAAAAGCGTGGAGTAATCATGTTGAATGATTTTATATTTGCTTTAGCAGTTTGATTTTTTCATGACAGAAGACAAGTACAACACAGATATGAACAGGGTGTGAACACTGTGTGGCACTTCCCTGGCTTTTTGTCAGCGGTGAAACTGGCTGGAAGTGACCTGTGAAGCTGGTCTCTGCCTCTCAGGAGCTGTGCTCAGCTCCGTGTGGGCTGGCACCGGGAGCATGCTCCTCCCGTGTTGCTGTGGTGTTGGTGTGCGTGTGCTGAGCACATGGTCCTCTGAATGCTGCTTAGGTGAATTGTGCAGCTACAGTAGATTTTCCTGGTGAGCAGTTAGATATTCCCTTTCACTATCTTCTGATCAGTAGCAGCTGTGCTGAACCCTACACAACAGCAGAAACTTCCTGGGTTCCTGCACCACCACAGCTCTGGTGTTTTATCCAAAACCTTAATCTTTTTGCTTGAAGGAAGATTATTAACCCCTCCCTGATTTATGTGCAGATTTCTGCCAGAGCAGAACCATGGTTACACTTCGGTAAAGCTCAGTTGCTCTTTGCTAGCGCCTTGCTTTATTGCATCTTGAATGCAGCTGTTCTGGCCACTGCCCACATACAGATGCTGTTCAGCAACTGTAGGTTTCTCAAACATAGGAAGTCAAACTGCATCTTTTGTAGTGTGGAAACATGACACTGTCTGACACTATCTCACCCTCCCTGTGGGCAAGGTGTCTCAGGCTGCTTTGTGCTGGAGGAGCAGAGCACGTCTGGAGCCTGGGCTGTGACTGGTTTCATTTCATAAATCCAATTAGTTCTTTGAGTCATTCTGCAGCTGGCATTACAGCATGGGCTTAGTGTCGTTTTCCAGGGGTGAATAATTTGGCAACCAAGATTATACAGTCCTTAGATTTTTTATGAAAACATCCAGCCAAAGTCTGTGTTCTCCTGCAAGGCTCTTCTTTTAGTAATAGTACTGGTTAATGAAGATTTGCTCCTGAACTGTAAATACAGCATTGCTTATGATTATTTGAAATTGATGGGGGAGTAAGATGCTGGACTTTTGTCTTTATTCTTGTGAGATCCTGAAGCTCTATGTTGATAGCAGCATATCCACTTGTGTTTAATTGGTGTTTTGTCAGTGCCGTCCAAGCTCAGATTGGGATGGAGGGGTCTAAAAGTAGGGATAAAGGAGAGAACCAGAGTCATTCTACACACATCATATGTGTAAGTGGGGGAATAAATCTGTGTATATCTAGGCTTTAATCATTCTACAGTTCACAAAATAGTATGGGGACAATTGTCCTTGTTTTGAAGGAATGAAGTTTGCCTTACTAGGCTGACAACAAAAGTAAACTTACCAGAATGCAAACTATTTGTTTTTTGACTTTTTTATCTTGCATGTGAGCAAGCTGGCATAGTACACTTCACTGTGCCAAAAATAAACCAGAGCAATGTAATATTAATACTTGGAAGTCCAGCACATACAGTGGGCTCTTCCTTACTGCGCATCCTAAAACAAGAGTATCAGTTGCAACTTAGTCCTGCTTTTCTTCTCTGTTATCCCATTGGTTTATACTTGAGTTTAAGCTTGTGCTGTTTCATGGTATGTTTGTGGTCCTCTGCAGTCAGTAGAACTATAGGCAAGTTCTGCTTGGGTGGAAAATGAACAGTTTGACTTTGTGTAAACTGACTTGATAGCTACAGTGCATAATCTCATAGTAAATATTGCCTGTGCTGATGTTCTCTGTGCAGACTCCCTTTTGTTTCTCTTCTTTGCCTCCAAGTCCCAGAATGTCATTCAGAGATTCCCTTAAGATTAAGCTGGGGAGGAAGCACTGTTGTTATTAGTTTTCCTGTAGTTTGATGACTTCAATTTGCCACCCTTCAACAGCAACACTTTCTATGAGTTTTCTTAAGCTTCCCCAAAGAAAGCAAGAACATACCAGCATCATTCAAAAATTAATTTGCTGTTGCAGGAAGGACTCAGGGTGATATGCATGCTTTCATTATACTTCTATTAACTTTTTACAAAGTTAAATTGTCTTAGCTGCAGCGTTTTATTTGCTGCAGGAAGCATTATTTTAATATTTTGATTAGGTACAGATTAGTCTTTTGATGGAATAATTTTGAGTATGTCAAGCACTGCAGCAAGATTACTGAGGTTCAAAGCATAGCACTTTGCCTTTGGTTAATATCACATAGTTCTTACTAGCGTATGCCAAGTTGAAACTGTTATACATTTATGTCAGTGTTTGTAATACAGAATTTAAAAGAGGCATTTCAGCAAGGAAATATGTATTTGTTAATGGAGCTGCAATTCTTGAGCTACTTCAAACTGCTTCTGGTCTGTCACAGAGTTTTTCTGATTAAAAAGCAGTTGATCTGTGAACATAGAAGTGCTAGGAAAATGGTTTGATTGTATATTTTAGAGCTGTTACTGAAGAACCACATTAAGCTTTAAATTGAACTTTGTTACTTATACCAGAAAACAATTAAAGCATATGTTTTATTTTTGCCTTAGGAGGACAATGATATTTTGTTTTCTAAGCAGAACAGTGCAACTAGCAAGTACATCCAGTCTACCAGGAAGACTACTCTGTTCAGCTCGCACGAATAAGCCAGTATTGACTCTGTTCACCAAGGTAAAAGTAGTTTTCAGAATAAAGCATCAATATACACAAATCCTAGATGAAACGACCTGACCTTTTGTGTAGTTTTGGTCATTTGCTTTTAGGATGTTTTTTTACTCTTGGCTTTATAGCACTTTCCTCTCACAAGCAAGTAGTTACAAGCAACAAATGGAGATTTCAGGACTATTCAATCTCAGTGACACTGTGGTCCATTTTCTAGTAGAAAATTGTTCTCTAACTGCTAGTGTTTCATCCTGGAAATGGACATCAAAGATGAGTTTTCGTACCTAATCTGTTCAAGACAGGCATAAACAGTAAAATAGGCTCTTCGAAGCACTCATTTAATTTCACTGCTATATTTGAGACTGAAAATATATCGGAGTAGTACTGATAGTATACGAGGAAAAAGAAAAGTCTGCTATCACCCTTTCTTTTGCTTTACGGGCTCTGTAAAGCTAACAGGAATAAAATGGAAATAAACTTTTGTTTGGGGTATAGGCTGTTAGGATTCTTAGCCACATGTAGGAAGCAGGTGTGATGAGCAAGAATGGTCATCCGTGAGCTACTGCCTTCCACAAATTGTTACTAAGAATCTGCTGTATCTGCAGAGGTCTTTTTCACTTTCAGACGGAATGGCACGCTGCAGTTAACTGTGGTTAGTCATTACATAATTTCTGAGGCTTTTGTTAGAATAATGTTAAATGCAAAGCACTGAGAATGTTGATATCAGTATGGCAGTACTTGTTGGTTTTGGGTGAAATTCATATGATTTCCTCTTCCTGAACAATGTTTGTTCGTTCCCTTCCTAGCTGTAAAAGAGTGTTTAAACTGTGTAACAGAGGAGTAGATTTTAAAAGTCCTCATCAGTTGTTTCCTAGTTAGTGGAATGCATTCCTTAAGGACAGTACTGTACAGCTTCTTTCTCTCCTTGCCTGATTCAGCATGAATTCATTCACAAAGCAAATGTGATAAGGTAGGGAATAATGAGGTTGGCTTTGGATTAATAATTGGGAAGAAGCTCCTTTGTATGATATTGTGTCACAAAATCTTAAACTAGTAATACTGTATGAAATAAAATTTTCTGGGTGTAGAGGTCAAGTAGCTCTCTAAACTGTCTGCCCTGGCTGAATGTGTTTTTAATGTAAAATGTTTTTCATGTCTCGTATCACTGTCAGTTGCAAAGAAGAAGGCAGACTGCTTTAAACTAATGATTGCTTCTAGTTTATACTTATTAATTGCATTTCTCCCTCCTTCCAATTTTTAAGAATGAAAAGAAAAGAGGAAGAAAAGGCAGGAGAGAGCTATGGCTTCTGTGACCACATTAAACTAGTAGATGGTAGCATTGCCAAATGGTCTTTCCCCTAAGAGGCTTTGTTTATGCCAACACAGGCATTCACACAACAACTGCTCCAGGTTTAAAAAAAAAATAATGATTTTTTTTTTATAGTGTTACTGTAAGTCAAATCAATTTTCATGTCTAGTTTTACCATGCAGCTGTATGAGTGCTTATGTTAGTACAAAAGAAGTGGTGGCAGGAACATAGGCATGCTTCCTTCAGCTTCAGTGTAAAATAAGTACCAAACTGCAGGCGGAGCATGCCACACAAATGAGCACTGTCTATAGAAATAAAACTTTCCCTCCCAGCATGTGTACTGTCAAACAGATCCAGCTAATAATACAGCACAGGTCCCTTTGAGAAGGGATTTTAACTGTGTCAGCAGTAGGAATCCCACTTTCTGCAGTAAGGTACCTTTCAGATGGGGGATTGTGTAAGACAGCCTCAACCAGGCAGCCCTATTTATCCTATCACAGAATATATATTATATATCCTATTACAGAATAGGATAAATTCACGGCAGAGACCTACTATTGTACTAAGTACTGAAAAATGTATGATACTATAAGTAGACCATTTAAACTGATTCAGCTGTTAGTGGAGTTAGTTCATTGTCTGATTCCAAACCAGTGCCAATCATATTAGTACTATGCAGTACAAACACTTGCCTTTCATGCAGGAAAGCAAAATATATTCTTTGCTGAAAATCACCTTAGTTTTTTAAATGCTTTTGTGTGACTGTTAGAAAGTTTACCACAAACCTAGGAAAATTAAGAACATCCTAATAACACTACAAAGAGGCTGGCTCTTCGAACTGAGTGTGAAGGAGTGATGTGAAGACCTGATGTGCAGGATTCTGGAGCATTTCTTTCGGTCACTGATAATGCACTTTTAGGTCTCTAATATATTGATCTATCCAAAAGCAGCAAGCAAAAACCCAGAACTGTTGATGTTTAGCATCTTGCGTAAGTTTTCAGAGTATAAGGATATGTCCCTGCATGAAAAACAGTTTAGATGGATCTGAATTGAAAGTAGAGTATTTAATCCAGATGAGTTAACATATGGGAAGTAAGAAATAGCTCTGTATTTAAAGAAGCCATAGAAAGATTTTTAAGTGGGAAGGAGTAGGTCTTTTCCAGCTGTAAGTGATGTTCCATGACAGAAGAACGTCTGTGTGTTTTGTTGTGTGAGTTATAGGCCAAATTCTGCTACTACAGATACTGAAGCAGCATGCCTTCATGTGAGTCACTGTTTCACGTGAGCGGTGCTCTGACAGTCATGATACATTTTCAGCAGAAGTCAGCTGATAGCTACACAGGAAGTCTAGGGAATTTTCAGAAAGGAGAGGTTTTCTTGAACCCCACTGCAGGTCAGAGCTGTTTGCCAGTTCACTCTGCTGGAGGTTTTTTGCCCTTCTAGCTGTGCAGGTTGGGAGGTATCATGTTTAATTTCTATCAGACATTGTCAGCCTATGTCTTGCTATTTGAACTGACGCTGGTGACTTGATCTGTAGTGGAACAGAAGTTACTCATGTGAGTCCCTCACTTGCTCCACTTCTGACTAGAGCATTATGGGCAGTTGTTTCCAACTGGAGATGGAAGCACTTTTACCTGCAGCTGCAAGCCAGAAGAAGGGATGTGTTTATGGCCTTATAAGCCATAGTGACCTTCTAAACCTTTGGAATAGCAGTTGAAAAATGTTAATTTGTAAGAAAAATAACAGCAAATGTATGCTTTTTGTGGGTGAAGCAAGAGTAATTTCTTTTTGTCCATGCTGCAAGGATAAAAATTTAGAAAGCCTTAAGACGTGAGAGAAATGGCGGAGGGAAATGATGTTTGCAGTAATGATCACATCTGCCTGTTTTGTACTTTACAGTGCAGCTAATTTGTGTTTTACTTTGTGCTTTATGATGGTCTCCATTTTTCCCCTTTAGAAACCTTGCCCTCTTTGTGATGAAGCAAAAGAAGTGCTTGAGCCATATAAGAGAAGGGTAACGTATTGCAATACTGTATACATTTCACATAGAGAAAAAATGAGGGTTCTTTCTTTGAGAAAGAAAATTGCTTGGATTTATTTGCATCCAATATGCTTTCATGGGTGACCTCTTCAAAACAATTTCAGCACTGATTTCCATAAAATTCATTATCCAGAAAACATTTTGAGACTATGCAGCTCAAGTAAGTATTGGCAAACCAAACCATCATACACTTAATTGCAAAAGTTTTTAAAACCACTGCACTTGTAAATACTGTTTCCTGTCTGACAGGAGTATACAATTTTTATGGGGCAGGTGATGATAACATTTGGGAAATATTTTGGTAAATAGGACTTCAAATGTTTCAACTGTATTTAAGGACAGTTTTTTCTTTGCCCTGGGAAGAAGTTGTTAGTAGTAGCGTTTGAAAGGTATTGCACTGTACTGCTTGACACTTTGTTGTAGCTAATATTCAAAGGAAACGGGTTCTGTACAGGGAATCAAAAGTGCTGAACTGGAGTGAGTCCTTTGCAGGTGCATAGCTAAGGACTGTGGCTGCATACATTTTGTTGCCATAAAATGGGCAATTTTTTGCAATATAGAAGAATAAATCCAGAAGCATAAAGTGAACCTTCTTTCATTTCTGAAAAAGAATCTTGATGCAAAGATAAGCCACTTTTCCACTGTAGTATGTAATGACATGTTTCTTTTCTGTCACAGTTTATTTTGCAGGAGGTGGATATTACCCTTCCGGAGAACTCATCATGGTATAATAAATACAAATATGACATACCTGTTTTTCATTTGAATGGGAAGTTCTTAATGAAGCATCAAGTAGACATTCAGAAGTTTGAGGACCAGCTTACGAAGCTGGAGATGCATAATGATGGAAACCATTGAAGAAAATATGGTTGTTCCAATTGGGTTCTGAAACAACTGTGCAAAATAAATGGTATGAAGAAATAGTACTCATTATCTGGCCTTACTTTTCTTAGAACTTACTGTACCTATGTTCTTAAAAAAATTGGGTGACTCATATTCTGTTTTGTGTTAGTCATTCAGTCCAGCTGTCTCAGTAGCAACTGTAGAGAGCATCTGCTGTATTCCTAGACTGTGGCTTTTCATTGATAGAATAAATGTTGCTCCATAGCAGCAGAGAAAATGAAACATGCTTTGAGATTGTTAGTATGTGTAAGCTGCAGGTCTGTAAGAGACATGAAGAAGTATAGAAGTCTGTCCCAAGTGCTCATTTTGAAGCGGAGAAGAAGGCTGTAAATGTGCTGTAAATGAAAAGCACACTTGATTAAAGGTGGCATATTCTCAATGAAGGAGAGTTGTACCTATAGAATAATCAGCACAATTTGATGAAGCTATTATTCATACATTAACAGTTGAGTGTTTTTTTTCTCATGGGGTGAACATGTTGCACTTAAATACGTTCTGTCTTCTATTGCAAGCTTTGAGCTCCTCAGTACTAGAGTTACTCCCCATCACAACTGAGAAAGAGAGAATGAAGTACAATAGAGCCAAACAAACAGGATCTGCAATGAAAGCAACATTTATTAGCTCCAAATTAATTTCTACTAGTGTCATTAATTTCAGACTATAAAGAGGTACGCAAGAAGCCCAAAGAGCTTATTTTAAAATTTTCTGGCTTAAAATAAAAGGATTTCTGCATTAGTTTCCAGTTACGTTCTTTAAAAAAAAAAAAAAGAAAAAAGAAAAAAACGAAAAAGAAAAAATCATAAATTAGTACACTTTTGGTCTCCTTAGAGATACTTATGGCATATTTGTCCAACATTACAAACCAAGTGAGCAGAAAACTTCTTCCTCTTACTGTATTATGGGAACGCTGCTTGAGCCTATGAGCTAGGGTTCTGTGGTAATTCAATCCATTCTTTATACTTCCTAACAGAGAGGAGTCACATTTCTGTTCACTCTACAAGACAGCTGTAAATCCATTTATCATTTGGCAACAGTAGCCTTTTGTGAAGGGCTCTGCAGTTCTTTTAGTGTGTCATTGGCAATGAAAATATGTATGGTAATCAGAGAATGCCTATGTTAAATATATTTTTCAGAAACAGAAGAAAAGGAAAAGCTCAGCTGTTCTAAGGTGAATGGTCTGTAATAAACACTGAAAAAAAGTCAGCTTAAGGTCTCCTTGATAGAACCTTCTAAACATAAACTCATACATATGTGCTGCATTTCTGTTCTTTTCTATCACGTGTTCTCTATTAAAAATGTAAGCAAGGATGCTTAGCAGATACCGTCTTCAGAGGGGGAAGAATCCAGACACAGAGCTCAGTAAGAACAGCAAGCTGAAATTCACTGAGATGCATTACAGCTTCAGCTCTTAGAGTATGGTTGAATAACAAAACAGCTAATCCACTACTGTGAAAATGGTAGTCCCACTATCAGCCCGTCCTGCGGTGTCATCTATCGACTACCCAATTCTGGTGGATTCTGCTAGAGGAAAGTTTTCTGGGCAACAGAGGGTGAGAAAAAACTTTTTTCCAGTTCAGCAACTTGAGTGCACTCTGCAAGGGATCTGAAAATATCTGAGAATTGCTAGAAGAGAGAACTGTAAGTTGTGGAGATTGTTTAAAATAATAATTAAAAAAAAAAGATGGAATTTCTTAGGAATAAGTGACTGAACCCAAGTAACCAAACAAAATATTAAATGTAATGTTTTCACCAACAGGAGGAAAAAAAAATGTGGAACCTGTTACAACAAAATGCTTCTTGCATTGTGTGCTGCAGCATAGTGTTGCCCTATCCACAGTGCTTTTCACCATTAAAACGAGCACAGGTCCCTAGAGACAAAATCTTCCACACTTTCTGCAGTTTATAATGCTGTAAGTTTGCCACAGGGTACCATTAAATAATACATCTGAATTATCTCTTGTGTCAGCAACTAAATGCCAAGATCTTTCTTTGTAATTTGGGATAGTTTCAGATGGCCTGGATTTTTCCATGCTGAGAATCTTGTAATGAGATAACTGACACACAGTGCTTTTCAAATATACATCAAACGATTTTCTAAAATACACCATTATCTCAAAGATACACAGGACAGAGGTCTTGCCCCATTTCCCAAAACACATAACTGACAGGCTGGAATAGCCATCAGAGAGCAATTTTCCTTTAGTTTTAATAAGCTCTGTTTTTGTGGGGAAAAAAAAGGAAGCCAAAAGCAGGTTACCTCATTGTCCTTATTCATCCGGGCTGTGGAGGTTCTCTTCTGTAGTCCAGGCAGATTTTCTTCCTCTTTACTTTGTGACATGGATGGTAACATGAATTTTATAATAGCTTTTGACTGTGGCTTAGCCTTTATCAGTTGGATGGAGGTTTTCTATTTTTGCTGTGGGTTCTAGTGGTGTATAATATAGACAGGGGTGACTGCCTCTTCCAGTTTTCTTCCAGTTCAGAATCAAATGCAGCCCTGTCTTATGCACACCTAATCCTATTTTTCTTGTCAAGGAGAGGTTGTCATAGACCTCTCTGCCAGTGGCAGGCCTTGACTCTGGTATGGAAATAGCAGTTCCAGCCACCCAACCTCAACCACCGCCCCATCCTTTCAAAGCCAAACATGGGATATAACGCCAGAGCCTTTCAGCAGTGTAGGAAAACATGCTGTTGTTCTTCTGTTTCAAGGTAGCAGAAGCTCTGTTGGACACAAAGATGAAAACAGATCGTTAATGTGGAGTGCGGGCTTGCACATCTCACAGAAGTAGTGGACCTGCAGTCATTTCCAGGTGAAACCCCACTATACAGGGTGATGGGCAAGAGGCTGGTAGTTCATTTTGGACCACATATGCTGCAAGGTTCTCACTGCAAGTTTAGGTTCTGTCAAGGTTGCAGATGTTAGTTTCTTCTCTTACCATCATCATTCTCCTTGACTGGGAGATCCTTGGTGGACCGGAATTTTGCCTCAAATAATTAACTGTTTCCCATTTCCTTTGATGTCCAGGGAGATTAAATGGCATGGTGTTGCTGGGTCTGTTGCTTTCATCTTCCAAAAACAAGAAGGGAAGGAACAAATCATATGTAAACTTTTTTTTTCTTACATCCTATTTCTGGCCAGTTGAAAAGTGCATACACAATGTCCAGTCTTCCTCCAGTAACTATAGTTTGCAAACTCCCACCAAGCTTACCCACTTATCTGTTCAACTTCTCCAGCTTTTTGTTGATGTCTTGAGACAACACAGCCCACAAATGGGATGGCCTCATTTGAGAAGGGGTGGTGGTGTGACTCTCTATGTTAAAGTCTACTGTGGTGTTGTTGAGCTTGGGGCTGGCAGTAATGAGATTGAGACTATGGCTAAGGATCAAGGGCAGGGCCAACAAGGTGGGCACCCTAATGGGGATCTGCTGTAGACTGCATAACCAGGATAAAGAGGCAGAGGCATTCTACGAACAGCTGGCAGAAGTTCATAGAATCACAGAATAGTTTGAGTTGGAAGAGACCTTTAAGATTATCTAGTTTCAACACCCTCTGCTATAGGCAGGGACATCTCTATCTAGATCAGGTTGCTTGAAATCCCATCTAGCCTGGACCTGAATGCTTCCAGGGAGGCATATCCACCGACTCATGGGGCAGCCTGTTCCAATGTGTCTCACCACAACAAGGAATATCTTCTTGGTGTCTGTCTAAATCTACACACTTCCAGTTTAAAACCATTTCACCTTGTCCTGCTGCTACCTGCCCTTATAGAAACTCCCTCCCCTGCTTTCCCATAGACCTCCTTCCAGTACTGGAAGGTCGCTATAAAGTCCCCTAGGAGTCTAACCTTCTCCAGGCTGTAGAGTCCCAGCTCTCAGCCTGTACTCGTAGGGGGGTGCTCCAGCCCTCTGACTATCTTCATGGCACTCCTTTGGACCTGCTCCAACAGCTCAATGTCCTTGTGTTAGGGGCCTCAGAACTGCACTCACAGAATCGCAGAATCACAGAATGGCCAAGGACCATTCTGGACCTCAAGGATCATGAGTCTTCAATCCTCCTTGCCACAGACAGGGCCACCAACCTCCCCATTTAATACTAGATCAGCCTGCCCAGAGGCCCATCCAATCTGGCCTTGAACACCTCCAGGAATGGGGCAACTACAACTCTCTGGGCAGCCTGTTCCAGCACCTCACCTCTCTCTCTGTAAAGAACTTCCCCTTGACATCCAACCTAAATCTCCCCTCCCCTCCCTTGTCCTGCTGTTATCTACCCTTTCGAAGTGTTGACTCCCCTCCCGTTTGTAGGCTCCCTTTAGGTACTGAAAGGCTGCAATGAGGTCTCCCTGCAGCCTTCTTTTCTCCAAGCTGAACAAGCCCAGCTCCCTCAGCCTGTTTATGTGGGAGGCACTCCAGGTGGGGTCTCATGAGAGCAGAGTAGAGGGGTCGAATAACGCTTCACTTGATTCAACCCAGGATATAGTTGGCCTTCTGGGCTGCAAATGCACATTGCTGCCTCATGTTTAATCTTTCATCAACTGACACTCTCAAATCCTTCTCCTCAGGGCTGCTCTCAAGCCGTTCACTTGTATCTGTGCTTGAGATTGCCCTGACCCAGGCGCAGAACCTAGTAGTTGGCCTTGCTGAACTTGAAATCAGCAAGGACCCACCTCTGAAGCATGTCCAGGTTCCTCTGGATAGCATCTCTTTCCTCTAGCATGTAAACTGCACCACTCAGCATGGTGTCATCTGCAAACTTGCTAAGGGTGCATTTGATCCCACTTCTGTGACACTTACGAAGATGTTAAATTTAACATCAGTCGCAATCCCTGAGGAACACCACTTGTCACTGATTTCCATTTGAACCTTGAGACATTGACCACAACTCTCTGATTGCGACCATCCAGACAATTCCTTATCCAGCAAGTGGTCCATCCATCAAATCCATTTTTCTCCAATTTGACAACCTGGGTGTCATATGGGACAGTGTCAGTTGATTTGCACAAGTCCAGGTGGATGACATCAGTTG